AACTCCAGGTGGGAAATTCCTGGAGATGTGAGGGATGGAGCCTGGAGAGGGTGAGGTTTCAGGAGGCGTGGGACCTCGGACAGGTACAAAGCCATAGACTCCACTGTCCAAACCAACTATTCTTTTCTGGGGAACCATCATTGCCAATCTCCAGGTGAGGGCTGGAGATCACTCAGAATTACAACTGTTCTTTAGGTAGCAGAGATCAGTTCCTCTGGAGAAAATGGTGGACTCAGTGTCATTATACCCTGCTGAGGTCGCCACAGCAAATGGACACTGAGTGTCCAAGGCCGGGGCACCCGCCCAGAGCCTCTTTCTAGAGGCCATTGTATTTATTTCCACAACAGGCCTTTTTCCTAGTAATCTTATAAACCTCAATCATGTCACTCCTCAGTCGTCGTTTCTCCAAGCTAAAGAGCCCTAAACGATTTAACCTTTCCTCAAAAGGAAAGTGTTCCAACCCTTTTATCATTCGAGTTGCCCTTTTCTGCACTTTTCCCAAAACTATAATATCCTTTTTAAGGTGTGGTGACCAGAACTGCACACAGTATTCCAAATGAGGTTGCACCTTTGATTTATACAGGGGCATTACGATATTGGCTGATCTGTTTTCAATACCCTTCCTAATAATCCCCAGCATAGCATTGGCCTTTTTTATTGCAGTCACACACTGTCTCGACATTTTCAGTGAGTTATCTACTACAACCCCAAGATCTCTCTCTTGATCAGTCTCTGCCAGTTCGGACCCCATCAATGTGTATTTATATTTAGGATTTTTGGCTCCAATGTGCATCAGCTTGGCCTTGGCCACATTGAACCCCATTTGCCATGTTTACAGCCACTTGCCCATCCTTGACAGATCCCTTTGGAGTGCCTCACAATCCTCACTGGTTTTCACCACCCTGAACAACTTTGTATCATCCACAAATTTAGCCACTTCATTGCTTACTCCCAACTCCAAATCATTAATGAACAAGTAAAAAAGAAGTGGACCAAGTACTGATCCCTGCGGTACCCCACTGCTTACGTCCCTCCACTGAGAAAATTGCCCATTTATACTCCCTCTCTGTTTTCTATTAATTAGCCAGTTTTTGATCCATAAAAGGATCCCATGATTTTTGAGCTTACTTAGGAGCCTTTGATGAGGAACTTTATCAAAAGCTTTATTTATGGGAGTAAATCACCAAGAGCACATTGGGCCAGTTCTCCAGTATGGATGATTTCAAACGTCTCAGTCCTGTGGCTTCCACTCAACAATCCTTGTCTCTGTTTTGCAACTCCTTTGTGCATACCAAACCCATGGGTTTTTTCTTTCTTTTCATGCCATTTTTTGTTTTCTACAACATATTTTACCATATCATTTAATTTCAGTTTTATTTATGCATCAATAAATCAGCTAAGATTGGCAACCCTGGGCGACTGACATTCAGCCAGCCGCTCTCTCTCCCTCTCTCCATCAGTCTAACCTAGCTCACAAGTTGGTGGGACTTGAAGATCTTCAGGATCTCCTGGCTGCAGAAATTAGTTCCCCTGGAGAAAATGGCTGCTTTGGAGGGCAACCTTCTATGGCATTATACTCTGCTGAGGTCCCTCCCCTCCCCAAACTCCACCGTCTCCAAGTGGTACCCCCAAAACTCCAGCAATTTCCCAACCCAGAGCTGGTGATGCTGCTCATAAGGTAGTTCTGAGAATAAAACGAGGGAGGTGAGAACTATGTATGCTGCCCTGAGCTTCTTGGAGACAGTGTGAGACAAAAACCCCACCTAGGAATCTGCACAGAAGAAGCTGCGACCCACCCAATTTCCTGCTCTTCCTCTAAATTTAAGATTGCCAACCTCCAGCTGGAGGCTGGAGTTCTCCCAGATCTCCAGACTACATACAGTGCTTGCTTATTTATTTATATAAAACATTTATTCCACTTCTCTTGGAGAAAATGGCTGCTTTAGAAGGGGGACTGCATGGCATTGTACTCTTCCAAGGTCACTCCCCTCCCTTAAGCCCCACTCTCCTGGGCTCAACCCTCAAATCTCCAGGTATTTCATACCTGGAATTGGTAACCCTATTTCTGTTCCCTGCTCTGAAGGGGGCTGCTCTGAAGCTTTGTTTCCAGTTATGGCCCACTGCACGGTTTCTAAAGGGAGCCTCCATATTCAGTGGCAAGAAATCCATCTGAATACTAGTGCTAGGACGTCTTCACCTCTCTACCTTGGCTCTTTAGGATAACTGGTTGGCTACTGTGTGAAACAGAAAGCTGGACTGGATGGACTAGTAGTCTGATGTAGCAAGAATCTTGTTATGTTTTTGTTAAACATTAACTTGAAGCAAGACACACTGGGGAACTTGACCACCACTGAACTTAACCACTACTGATCTAGACCACCACTGAAAATGTTCCCAGAATTTACCAATGTCCCAGACAGATTGAACATGAACATTGTCTGCTTAGCAGCCAAATGAGGGAAATTCCCGTCTCCAGCAGTGAAACACTATATAAACACATGCAGATTACTAAGAACAGATAAGGTTATTTGATTTCCGATGTAAACAGATTATACATGTTGCTTGGTAAGTAATAATATTGGTCAATCCTGAACTCTCCCTGGAAGCTAAAATGACTGAGGCTATTGTACTCACTATTGTATTGTCACATTATGAGAAAAGAGTCACTGAAAAAGACAACAATGCTAGGAGAAGTTGAAGGCAGCAGGAGAAGAGGAAGACCTGACATGAGATGGATGGACTCAACCAAGGAAGCCACGAGGGCCCTCAGTCTGCAAGACCTGAGCAGGAGTGTTGATGATAGGACGTTCTGGAGGCCATTCATTCATTGATTTGCCATATGTTGGCAACAATTGATGGCACGTAACACACACACATACCCAAACAATTCAGACTGTTGAGGGTGAAAGCTGATGACATATAAATAGAACTGCCCAATTATGACAAATGTTGGAGAAAACCAGAAGAAGACCTGTTGAGAAGACACGATAGTATAACAGACTCTGAACTTGGTACATCTGTGACCTATTCCACAGCCTGAAGTTCAGAAGCAAAGTTTTGTTTTCTGAATCCATAGCCAACAAACAAATGAACAAACAGATCCATGTAATAACTTTCTTGAGGGTTCATCAAAACGACACAAAACATTTATGCCCTTTTGGTTGGCCCGGATCTAAGGGATTACATGGATTTTGTCTTTTGTTGACCAAATACCTGGAATGAAACAATCACCCCTGAAAGGTGCTCCATTGTCCAAGATTCTCATTTGCTTGTGGTAATATGGACAAGTGTGTCTGTTGATAGGCTGAGGAACAAGCCACTAGAAAATTCTTCCACCTAAACAAGTCAGGGGTGTCATGTCTCACTTTGCGGTTGTATTGTCTGATTACAGAGCAGAACATGCCACTGTACGCTATTGAGGTAAAGCATCCTGTAGCATTCTAGGCATATTTCAACATACTGCTTTTAATATATAAGCCAGTATGGTGTAGTGATTAGAGAAGGGTTCCCCAATGCAATGCTCAGGGGCACAATGACATCTGCCAGAACTTCCCCTGGAACCCACTGAGGTGATTGAGTGATTGAGACCACTGTAAGGCAGGGCTTCTTTCTGGCTGCCCTAATTCAAACAGGCGCCGCATCCACTGGAGGATCAGGAGGATTTATAAGCACCCAGGCTTTCCTTAGTCACTCTGTGGTTTCATTCCCCATTTTGGCTTTCCTCCTTTTGATTCCCCAGCCCCTTCTCTTTCTCCCTTCCTACCCCCAGGTTTTCCTTTATTTATTTTTGTTCTCTGTGAAATAGAGTAATTGCTGCCTTCATTAAGAGATTAATCTCTGGAGTACTTACAATGAGAA